TGATTATTATGAGCTTCTGATCGGGCTTTAACGGGGACCTTTTCAGGTTAGACAGCCACGATGGTAGGTTGGTGAGTGAGGGCCTCAATATCCCACCGACAGACGCATCGTGGCCCAGGTAGCGAAAGCTGTTAACTTCCGTCACCATGGCCACACGGCGCCCGTCGATCTTTAGCCCATATTCTTTCCTTGGGACTAGCGACCCTTTCACCGATCCTACCACCATGGCCGAGCACTTCCCGGGGTTCAGAACCATGCCCCTGGCTCCCGCGAACTCCACCACTTCGCTGAGCGTCAGAGGAAGATTAACTTCCTCGTCCTCCAGCAAAATGATGTCGTCAGCGAACGCCATAGCGCTGACCTTCACTCCAGGAAGGATCGTGCCTCCCCTGTTCCGTCGTTAAGCCGGCTCAGCAGCTCATCAATTACCATGTTGAATAGCAGTGGGCTAAGTGGATCCCCTGCTTGACCCCGCGCCTAATCTGAATGCTCCCCGTCTGCTCGCCACCCACTTTGATGGCGGTCTCCGAGGTGGTCAAGGTCGACAATATGTATCTGATGGAGCCCTCGTCTATTCCGAATCTCCGTAACGCCCCAACAACACTCCCATGTCCAACAGTGTCGAAGGCTTTACGGACGTCGAGTGAGACGACGCAGTACCCTTTTCCGGCGCCCACCCTGTTCCTAATGTAGGCCTGAAGGACCATACAATTGGCGAGAGTGCCATCCACCGCAGTGAAGCCGCGTTGGTTGGTGCTCAGGGCGATGACTTCCCGTATGCGGTTAGCCATCGCCCTGTGCATCAGCCTCTGAAGGGCACTCCCGATAGTGAGTGGGCGCCAGTTGGCCGGGTCACACCGTTGACCATTTTTTAAAATAATAGTAGTGCGCGAACGGCGGAAGCAAACAGGGTGCACATTCCGTATCAAAATAATAGAGAATAGTACGGACAGCACCCTGTTGTTGGCCCGTTTCACAGGAGACACTGTAATTCCGTCGGCGCCAGGCGCCGAGTTGCCCCAAGACGTTTTGGCATTTTCAATCTCGTCCTGCCTGAAGGGCAGGAACGTTTTCGTGTCCTCCGTCAGCGGTTTGTTATGAACGTCTGTCACCTCTCGCGCAGGCGACTCCAAGATGCCGCGATACAACCGTTCGACCTCGTCAATAGGGGAGTAACTTCCTTCTCGTCTAGCGGAGTTCCAGAAATAATTTTCTCCGCTAGAGAGCTACGGTTTTTGTTGAAGAGGTCCTGGGCTTTTTTGAAACCTTCTGCCCTAGGACCCGCCCTGTTGTTATTTGGGCGTAGTTTTCTCTGAGGGGGTTTGTTCCCCTTCTCTCCCCTTCTTACCACCCTTCTTACCACCCCGCTGTTCTGGAAAGTGCTTTTTAATCCAGTCATCGATATAGGGGCCCAGCTGCACGTTGGCTAGCTCGAGACCCGCATTGCACAGCTCCACAACATGACCCAGGCCGTCAGCTGCCGCAGCCTCCCGCTCAGTGACGAGATAGCTGCGCAGTTGGTGGTTAACAGTAACCTGGGTCTTGGGCTGTGCGTGGGGGGGAGTGAGGTCGTGATCGCATCGCGCCCTTCTAGGCGTCGGCTGCATGAGAGGCGACATCGACTCATTACGTTGTCGCTTCGTACCGCCGTTCTGCAAAATTGGTGTAACAACAATATGTGCTCTAGGTGTCTTACCGTCTCCGTCGTCTTCGCTGTCCTCTTTGTTGGTAATATCCTGCGGAGATTGCTCCGCAGTTGTCTCAGTGTGGACTGATTCACCCTCGATGTTAGGATTTCCACATGGGCACTGGCGCGCGCTGCACCAGCCGAGGGCACAGGCCGAGGGAAAGGGAGATTGTTTGTTTGGATCTCTTTGGCGGCACAGAGGTACTCCTTGTAAACGGGTTTGTTTCTTCTGTGCCGCACTTGGTCGCGAGTAAGGCCGGTATCTGAAACCATCCTGTCTATAAAGGGTTGCCCCTTTATAGTGGCAGCTTCTATTCTCGCCATTATCTGCATCAGTTCAGATTCCGGCCTTTTCAGCCTCTCCCTCTTCTCGTCATTAACTGCAGCGGCGTGTGCCCTGTGCTCATGCAGTCGCACGCCAGTAAAAGATGAAAACTCCGACCCGCAGTACTGGCATTTGGTCCGCTCTACGGTGCCACACGCGGGTCTGTGTCTTGTAAGTCCATTCTTGGTGTAGAACGCCTTCCCGCAGTCCTCACAATTGTATCTTGTCTGTTTGGCAGGCCCCAGGTTGGCCGCATCACTGGCTCCTGTTTTTGGGGATAGGTTACTTGGGCCTGCCTTACTGGTTCCAGCAGCTAGAGGGCCGCTGGCAGTCTTGTTGCCACCCGCTGGCGGACTTCTAGGTTTTCCGCCCCTACCTTCGGTAGGGCCATCGCGGGTGGCTAAACGCGGTGCCTTCGCACCACGTGTGTGGCTCTCTCCTCCTCTCGAAGTGGCGGGGTTGCTCCTCTTCTTTGCCGGGTCGGCCATTGCGCATGCGCAGGATGACCGTAACCAGCAAGATTAAGAGTATTCTCCTTTCTGCGTACGGGAGTGAAAACCGTTTGCCGCTACGTAGTCTGGTTCCGGAGATATCACGTATTAAAGATTTTATCTCCGGAACTACCTCCTCCCAGCTCCTGTTCTCCTTAAGAGAGTCATAGTTACTCTCCCGCCGTTTACCCGCGCTTGCTTGAATTTCTTCACGTTGACATTCAGAGCACTGGGCAGAAATCACATTGAGTCAACACCCGCAGGGGCCATCTCAATGCTTTGTTTTAATTAGACAGTCGGATTCCCCCGGTCCGTGCCAGTTCTGAGCTGACCGTTGAATGGCGGCCGAAGAGGACACCAGAACGCCCTTGCGAGCGCACTCTGGGCCTCGCAGCAAGACGGTTCCGCGGGAGGCCAAGGCACGGTACCGAGTTCGGATCCGCAATCCTACCGCACACGCGCGAACGCATACGACAGAACGTTTCACCTCGCCCAGGCCCGGCACGTCAGCCGCGACCCGCTTCCTCGCCAAGCCCGACACGCCCCGATCCTCAGAGCCAATCCTTATCCCGAAGTTACGGATCCAATTTGCCGACTTCCCTTACCTACATTATTCTATCGACTAGAGGCTCTTCACCTTGGAGACCTGCTGCGGATATGGGTACGAACCGGCGCGACACCTCCACGTGGCCCTCTCCCGAATTTTCAAGGTCCGAGGGGAAGACCAGGACACCGCTGCAACTGCGGTGCTCTTCGCATTCCAAACCATATCTCCCTGCTAGAGGATTCCATGGAACTCGAATGCTTATGCAGAAAAGAAAACTCTTCCCTGGTCTCCCGACGGCGTCTTCGGGTCTTTTTGGGTTACCCCGACGAACTCTCTTGCGAGGGCCCGACTATTGTACGGTTCCGCTGCCGGGTTTCGGAATAGGAACCGAATTCCCTTTCGCCCGACGGGCGTGTTCTTTATATATACACACATACATACATATATTTAAAACAACGCCACATCAACATCGGCTTTCGCCTAGGGCTTAGGATCGACTGACTCGTGTGCAACGGCTGTTCACACGAAACCCTTCTCCACGTCAGTCCTCCAGGGCCTCGCTGGAGTATTTGCTACTACCACCAAGATCTGCACCGACGGCGGCTCCAGACGGCCTCACGGCCAGCCCTTCTGCGCGCACCGCCGCGACCCTCCTACTCGTCAGAGCTTCATGGCCGATCCGTTTTTACGCGGATCGAGACCGCACATGCCGCTGACGGCCGAGTATAAGCACGACGCTTCAGCGCCATCCATTTTCAGGGCTAGTAACTTCGGCAGGTGAGTTGTTACACACTCCTTGGCGGATTCCGACTTCCATGGCCACCGTCCTGCTGTCTTAAGTTACCAACGCCTTTCATGGTATCCCATAAGCGTCGATTTAGGCGCTTTAACTCGACGTTTGGTTCATCCCACAGCGCCAGTTCTGCTTACCAAAAATGGCCCACTTGGCACTCTGATTCGATTCTCGCAGCTTCATTAGTTCGAGCAAGCCGGAGATCTCACCCATTTAAAGTTTGAGAATAGGTTGAGGTCGTTTCGACCCCAATGCCTCTAATCATTCGCTTTACCGGATGAAACTCGTCACAGACGAGCGCCAGCTATCCTGAGGGAAACTTCGGAGGGAACCAGCTACTAGATGGTTCGATTAGTCTTTCGCCCCTATACCCAGTTCCGACGATCGATTTGCACGTCAGAATCGCTACGGACCTCCATCAGGGTTTCCCCTGACTTCGTCCTGACCAGGCATAGTTCACCATCTTTCGGGTCCCAGCGTGTACGCTCTTGGTGCGCCTCTTCTCGTAATGAGAACGAGACGCCCCGGGAGTGCGGAGCGGCCGCTTTATAGACGTGCCGCCCATCTTCCCTAAATCCGCGCTAGGCGGATCTTTACTTTCATTGCGCCTTTAGGTTTAGTTATGTCCCAATGACTCGCGCACATGCTAGACTCCTTGGTCCGTGTTTCAAGACGGGTCCTGAAATTACCCAAAGCTATAGCGTCGCAGATCGGCGTTTCAAACGAGGTCTGTCCGAGAAATCCGCACGACCAACAGTCGTCCGGGGACGGAACCGGGCGCTAGGTCCGATCGCCGTCTTAGCATCGAACGTGCTTGTCGTGGGTCGGACGCTAATTGAAGAAGTAGCGGCCTCGCGCCATCTGTATACCGTCGAGCGAGTCGGCCGGAACATCGCGGGTTCGAGCACGAATCGCCGAAACGATCGTACACGGACTCCACCGCGAGCCGTAGACCGACACCCAACGGATCGCGACGTCCTACTAGGGGAAAAGTGCACGCGTTCGACGCCGGATCGAAAAGCGAAAGGCGCGGACGACGCGCGAACGCCGTCCGTCGCGCGACCGCTCATCGCCGACGGCCGAAACGCGAATGAATTTCCCCTTTCGACCTTTCGGGTTTCTCAGGTTTACCCCTGAACGGTTTCACGTACTCTTGAACTCTCTCTTCAAAGTGCTTTTCAACTTTCCCTCACGGTACTTGTTCGCTATCGGTCTCGTGGTCATATTTAGCCTTAGATGGAGTTTACCACCCACTTAGGGCTGCACTCTCAAGCAACCCGACTCTGAGGAGAGATCCTCCCGCGATCGGCAGCGGCCACTACGGGCCTGGCACCCTCTATGGGCTGTGGCCCCGTTCAAGAAGGACTTGGACTCGCCGCGCGACCTCGGGATAAACGGATCCTCCCTAACACCACATTTCCCGGCGCCCGATATCGACCGCGGGATTCGGTGCTGGGCTTTTCCCTGTTCGCTCGCAGCTACTGAGGGAATCCTAGTTAGTTTCTTTTCCTCCGCTTAGTAATATGCTTAAATTCAGCGGGTAGTCTCACCTGCTCTGAGGTCGGTTAACAATATACAACACAACACCACACACAGATATATATGTCACACGCGATCGCTAATACTAAATCGTATAGCTGCTGCTGCTATACTACTACTAGTCGAAAGCGTTCTCTAGTGTTTAGCGCGTATATGCGATCAGACGTCGTTATCTCGAAAAAAATAATTTCTCTCTCGGACACGACGATCGCAGCGCAAGTTCGAAACGCGTAACGACTACAGCATATATACATATATATATATATATATATATATATGTAGTGCTATTACGATTTTTATCCGTACAGCGCGCGTGTTCGTTCTATGTGTGAGTTTACGATTCGTTCGTATGACGAACGAATCGTCGCTTTCGCGTTTTGAGATGCCGCGACGACGACAAAGACGACGACGTTTACGATATTACATAAATAAATATATAATAACTAGCGTCGTCGCGTCGTACCGCCGCGTCTACATCCAACACGCTCCGACGTTTCATTCTCCTCTCTCATGTCGTCGTCGTCGTCGTCGTCTCTCGGATAAAGAGATAATACGACGACGCGAACAGAGATCGGAGAGGAAACCGAGCAGTCTTTTAAATTGATACGACCCTCAGCCAGGAGTGGTCCGGGAACAGTATCCGAGGACCGCAATGTGCGTTCGAAATGTCGATGTTCATGTGTCCTGCAGTTCACAAGTTGACGCGCAATTAGCTGCGTTCTTCATCGACCCACGAGCCAAGTGATTCACCGTTCAGGGTAATCGTTTTTTAATTAGACGATCTCTATATATATAAAATATATATCGATACGTCTTTATTGTTATGATAATGGCTAATGTTATTAAAGAAAATATATAAAAAAAAGAAAGCGCGCATTTCTCACGGAGACTTCGTGTATTTTGCGCGGCAAACGCGCAAAATTATTTTTGCGCGTTTATAACAAACGAGCGTGCCGACGAAGTCTCTCGTGTACGCGCGCATTCTATCCGTATCGCGCTTCTATAGCATACGCGTGTGCAAGGGGTACAAATAACACTACAACAGAGTTGTACATAACATGAATATATATGTATGTATTAAGCGTACAACACGTGTCGTCCTCTTGTACCGTCTTTTCGTATGGCGTAGAAATTTCGACTAACGGGCGAATATCTTTAAAAACAACCGGAAAAGAAGGAAATGAGTCGTGCGGACACGACGACATATCTCCGTTCTTCTCCCATATAGAGTTACCCGTCGAAAATATCGCCATCCGTACAGACGACGACGTCGTAGAGACACGTGTGTACATACGCATACGCATACAACACAATATTATGTCTATGCGATATACGCGTGTCGGAACGTACCCCGAGCGCGCGCTCGCGCGTACTAGAAGCGCTCTATACGGCGTGGTGCGTTCGAAAATTATACGTATTATATGATGGTGGGACGACGAAAAGATTTTCAATAAGATTTATAAAAAAGATACGCACTCGCGTACACGACGAGACGAGGGAAGAGGTTGTGTGTTACACACAAACAACAACACCTCGTTCGGGTAATATACACGTGTGTGCGCTCGATCTTACTATAAATGTTCCTTATTATCTTTTCGAACGTCGCTACATCATCGCCTATAATAAAAAGGCAAATTCGTTCAATGAATAGTAAAGTGTATAAGAGTAAAGTATCGTGTTGAAATATATTACTCATTATACGAAAGACTTTTTTTTGTCAAAGACAAAAATTAAAGCACTGTAATGATCCTTCCGCAGGTTCACCTACGGAAACCTTGTTACGACTTTTACTTCCTCTAAATGATCAAGTTTGGTCATCTTTCCGGCAACATCGACGACGCCGAAACGCCCACCGCGTACCAGTCCGAAGACCTCACTAAATCATTCAATCGGTAGTAGCGACGGGCGGTGTGTACAAAGGGCAGGGACGTAATCAACGCGAGCTTATGACTCGCGCTTACTGGGAATTCCTCGTTCATGGGGAATAATTGCAAGCCCCAATCCCTAGCACGAAGGAGGTTCAGCGGGTTACCCGGGCCACTCGGCCAGGGAGGACACGCTGATTCCTTCAGTGTAGCGCGCGTGCGGCCCAGAACATCTAAGGGCATCACAGACCTG